TTTTGATTATATGTCACTGTTGGTATTAGCCAATAAATCAGTTTTTTATGAAGTTATAAGGTTCCGGGTTAGAGTGGGTGGCCTTCTTTGGTTATGTGCTCGCATTGCTTTTGGCTTTCAATAAGTTTCATCCGAAAATCAGTTGTGAACTTGAGTGAATTGAGTAAAGTGCAGGAATTGAGATGGAGTGTTAAAGACTTTTGAACTCTCTACAAAAATTTGTTTCATTTTTTCGGAGATCGAGAAGTCTGCGCTGGCCTTGAGGGAGTGTAAAAATAAATCATCTAGAACAAAACAAATAGGTGTTCTTAAGAGCTTGCAAAGTTGTGTTGACAACGTGCTAGCTCCGTGCTAGCATATTATCGATCAGTGCTGGCGAGGGGAGCCTTCAGCATCTCGGCACGACGCTGGCGCACGATCAACTCTGGATGCTGTTTGGAGATCATGTGCCTATGTGTATGTGTGCAATGTTTACATAGATTCGCATTTTCTTGTTCAAAACAGGACTAATTTACCAGAGTGAAGTTTAATTGTGAAAATTCCTTACTCAACTGATAATTTGTAGACATGACATTTTACTGATAAATTAGGCAGGTCATTGGTCAGGCAGCTCCACAGTAAGAAAACCTATAGATGAGACATCAGCAGGAGAGATGACAAGTCACGAACATCCTCGGCAAAGAGGTAACGCATTAAAGGTAGTGCTAGGAAAACCTGCAATAGGGAGCTTTCCATCCTTCCTTAGCTTTCTGAATGCGCTGAGTCCATGTCTATGCTGGAAAGGTCAAAAAAGTGCTTTTCAAAGTGTGCGAGTCCCTAAAGATTGCTGGAGAGGATGGACGAGCGATTCCCGCTGAGTCGCGATTGGCTATTTGAGGGGATTAGCCAGTTGCCGCCAATATGAGTGGAGTTACAGTCTCCAGTCGCTGTTTTTGGCGGGAATCGCTCACTCCGCCCCTCCAGCAATCTCCAAAGCAGGTAAACGCCAAAAAAGCACTCTTGACTTTTCAAGCACACTCGTTGCAGCGGTTCCAGAAGGCCATGAAGTTGTGGAAAGACCGCAGTCGCGATTTTCCCGACCCACTGCCTTTGAAGCACATTTGTATTGTTTGACTCCAATATTTGTATGATTGGCTATGATTGCAGTGCAGTAAATTCAAAGAACTTTTCTTCCGGGAGAGTTGCTCACGCAATTGCTGTCAAACTGCAGTGGAATAACAACAAGAAACCTTTATCGAACAGAAAATTCTGCAGCCGAAATGAAGGCAGAATAGGGGATAGCGTGTTGCAAGACTGTGCTCTCAAGGAGAATTAGTCACGATCGCACATCTTGGCCAGACCAGGAAGAAGACAGAGCTGCAATATTGAGAGGGTATCTATAATAACACTCAAAATTAGTCAAAAAATAGCAGTACTCCGTCGAAGTGCGCCGAAACCGCTTCGCATCGCCATATCTGTGTTCGGAATAGGCGAATTTTGAATCCAAGTACAATATTCAACTCAGCTCGGTGAGAAGCATCTTCTGAGATACAGACAAGTCCGTTTAGACATTCTAGGAGGTTGACTCACGCTTTTTAGATTCTTGCTTACGGTAGGTCACTTGTT